ATATCCTACGACCTTACAAGCCACGGACAAGAACTACTGGTGTGCCCCAACTGGCCACACCTGGGACAACTGCATATTTCCCCAATTGGGGCTTGGGAACTCGACTCTCCCGAGGCCCTCGAAATCTAGCCTGTTTGTTCCACATAACGGTATTGCCCCTGCCCAGTCGGATAAAGATGAACCCGACTAGGTTGCAAAACTCCCAAAGAAGCCCTTGGTTGGGTACAGAAACGTTTGATATGACCTGGCTGGTTACACACCCAACAAGTAAGTGGCTCCTAAGTACGAGACTGGTTCAAAATCTGAACTGATGGAGACCCCAACGACTGCTTCCCCAATGAGCATTCGATCGATCCAAAACCTGGTTGGCTAGATGATTCTGGTGGTGCAAGCATTGGTCGAACTGCCAACCCTGCCCTCTTCCTCCGTAGGCAAGCCGGAGACTTGTGGCCCAGCTGACCACATTTGAAACAAGTGACATCCCTTCGCTTACCCTTTCCCGAGCCTAGACTCGGCACTGGAAAGGTAAAGCCAGACTGAGCTCTCTGAAATTGTTGTGGGTTAAAACCCTTCTGCCTCTTAAAAGGCCTACCAACTCTCTGAGTTACAGGAGGCGCCGAAATGGCCTCCTCCTTATTTTGTCTCATAGCTAGCATCGCTGCCTCTACATGAGCTGTCGCCTTAACAAGCACACTATAACTCCTATGCCAAGACCCAGCAATCCTTTCTCAGATGTCGTCACACAGCCTACTCTCAATCTCTGAACAACGCAGTTCCTCCGTCTCCACTAACTCTGGGGCAAATCTCGACAGGCTAGTAAACCATGCTTCAAACTGTACCAAAGGTGTAGTACCTTGGCGTAACTCCACAAACTGTTTCCGCAACTCTTCCCGTGTGGAAGGAGGGAAATCACTACTTCCTCGTCTAGGCATCCTAGTGAAGGTAACAAAGATATTAGCACATTATCAAAGGTGTCGAAGCTATTTCACTCGCGTGCTAACACGATGGACAACTGTAATTTACTCCACATAAACACATAATCACATAAGCACTTACAAATCGCATTTCTGGATAATGACTGTCTCGTGGCGTTGCTAGAGTTCCAGTTAGAAACGACATTGATCAAGTGCCCTTCCAACAGGACTCCCAGAAACCTAAAGATCCAATCAACATCCTAAAAACTAAATCCCATACCCACATAGTCACACAAACATGTTATCACATAAGCACATAACATCACACATAAGTCTCTAACAAGCGAGACAAACCCATTGTGGTATTAACCACTTCCCACGAACCCAAAGTATTCAAACTCGGTACACTCTGATACCAAGTTGTAACGCCCTCAAAATATTATATAATCCCCACATCCAACAGTTCTATATACATGATAGATAAATCACATTTCCATGCATACATCAGAGTTAATATTACAAAGAGTATTTCATATAAGTTACAAATGTTTACACAAATAATAGAACGCCCTGCGGGCTTACATCTTTCCAAGTTGTTACTTGGTTACACAAAAGAAGAGTTCTAACTCTTTTACAAGTAAAGCCCTTGGCTCGCATTTACATGTAACCAACAAAACAAATAACAAAGCAGAGTCTTCAATTCCTAAGGTTTCCAAGCAAACATCTTGGAGGCCTCCTGTACCTGAAAATGGTGTCCCAAGAAGGTGAGCCAAAGCAAAGTAGAGATATGCTAAACCCAACCTGAGAAATAACTAAAACATTAACATTCGATAAATGGTTAACACTTGTAAACCAACTCACACCCTTCCCATAGCCCAACAACAATTTCATCCATGTTTCAGTCCACTTCCCTTCACTTATCCAATTCAATTCCTAAATATGGTCCATTATCTAACCAAGCGATTTAAATGAGACTGCAACTCATCTTATTAACACTTCCGTCATCCACAATTCTAAATAAGACTACAACTCATGTGATTAACACTTCAATTATAACCGATTCATAATGAGACTATAACTCATGTAATTAACACTTCAATTGTCAACTTCATCCATGCACTTCAATTTATAAGATTTCGGGACTTACACCTTGGACACTCCGGCCAACTTAATTATCTATGGAGTCCATCCCCTATCTTCTCTCAAACAATGGAGTGCATCCCCTATCTCCTCCCAAACAAACATACATATACAATGTATTAAAGCATATAATCACACGTATGGAGTACATCCCTATCTCCTTCCAAACAAAGGTACATATACAATGTATTAAAGCAAATAAACACATATAGAGTACATCTCCTATCTCCTCCCAAACAAGATACATATATAATGTATTAAAGCACATAATCATATACGGAGTACATCCCCTATCTCCTCCCAAACAAGATACATATATAATGTATTAAAGTCTTTATCTTATACCATGATCAATTAAGGCACATATTCAATGTGTTCTTCCCACTATCATATTTAATGACATATTTCAATTGATTAGTTTCAATTTACCTAATCATCATGCAGTTCTACAACAATCAAGACTATCCTCTACCGATAGCCCAAAGCAGTTATTTCTAGACAGATAAATGAATTTACCAAACAAATAAATTATCACATTTTTCGTAGGTGAGTGATTTATCAAACCGACCACACCAATTAGTCCAAATTCCATCCAATTTCATGATGTTCAAATCAATTTCATATTCCTCACAATTATGCAATTAATTATACAAATTAATTATTTAAATTCAATTAGGGCATTTCCCCATTTTTCTCAAACATTGATCCTAAGACCAAATCTCACCTATCAAACCCACAAAACCTCATTTTCAAGACCTCTTATACATATGGAGCCTAAAAACACAAAAACCCTCTCTTATATACCACAAACCTCAAACCCTAGCTTCCCAAATCACCAAATCTCAACATCTATACTAAATGACTATTATTTATGTTAAAACTCATAAGAAGTAGTAGATCATCCCTACCTCGAAGTTAATATCCCAAAGGAGAAGATGAAGAAACTCGAAAGTGCTCCAAAGTATAAATTTTTCGGATCAAAGTGTAGCCCGCACCAAGCTCCACCTTTCTTACAAAGAGATTAGGGTAGACACACCCAAGAACCAAGGATATTTGTAGAGAGAAAGAGTATGTAGAGAGAAAGAGAGTCGGGTCTAGAGTTTGGAAGTAAAAAGAGTAAAAAGTGAAGAAGAAACATGCTGCTGTAACTGATATACTCGAGGCTCGCTCGAGCGAAGAAGTGGTCGCTTGAGCGACCAGACACAGACAAACCTCGCTCGAGCGCACAAAGCCTTGCTCGAGCGAACAACACGAATCTTCAGGTCTGCAACCCAAAAGCACGCTCGAGTGCAGAAGTCCTTGCTCGCTCGAGCCAAGAAAAACAACCTTCAGGTCCAAAAGAGAAGCAGATGCACGCTCGAGCGAAGGACCGCTCGCTCGAGCGAAAAGACACACCGGACTGAGCTCGCTCGAGCGAAGAAAAGCTCGCTTGAGCCAAAGCTGCATCTGAAAAGAAAACCTGAAGACCCACAATACTCGCTCGAGCGTACAAACCCTCGCTCGAGCAAAGAAGAAAAAACACAAGGCTCGCTCGAGCGACAAAGTCCTCGCTCGAGCGAAGAAACCAAAAATTGGACAGCAGCCATTTGTTCCAACACCCAACCAACCTGTTTCGAACCTGCCCAACACACCCCAAGACTCAAATACAAGGAATCAAAGGATGGAAACAAGAATAAGACAACAACATACATCCACAAAATCGAGTCCAGAATACAATAAACAAAAGAGGGAAAACCGGGATCGCTATACAAATGGTGACCCAGGAGCAAGAGGCTTTGGTGGTCTTGTTTGAGATGAGAAAGGAATTTGGCTCATTGGCTACTATAAGAAGCTTGATGTTTGTTCCAGTTTGGAGGTGGAACTTTGGGCAATTTACTGAGGCCTTACTATAGTTTTTGAGAAGGGGTATAAAGACCTTACCATTGAAACGGATTCCTATTCTGTGATTGAGTTATTGCAAGAAGGTTCTGTGGTGTCGCCTTCTGTTAGAAGCTTGGTGGAGGATTCTAAATTCCTTATGCAAAGGTGTGGCTGTACTATCCAACACGTTTTGTAAAAGCTAAGCAAGTTGAGCTTCCAGTAGTTCTGGATGAGGCTCTTGAAGAAATTCGAGGGCTAGTGATTGCTGACATGGTTGGGCAAGGCTATCTCAGGCCCTGAGTTGTGGCAACCACTGTTTGGGCTTTTTTGTTCTCCTTTCCTTCGTCTGTTTCTTGTTGTTTCAATAAATTCAAGGGCTAATGATTGCTGACATGGTTGGGCAAGGCTATCTCAGGCCCTCAGTTGTGGCAGCCACTGTTTGGGCTTTTTTGTTCTCCTTTCCTTCGTCTGTTTCTTGTTGTTTCAATTTCCATTGTACCAAAAACAAAAAATATAGTGGAATCAATCCGAACCAATCCATTTAAACACAGATTGGATCGGTTTAGGACCACGAATTCACATAGTTAAATAACAAAAAAAATATAGAACATTTTAATTTCATAAAAACATAAACATAGCATCATATTAGTTCCACAATAGCAACATGTCTTTCTATAATAGTAACATACTGTTCTAGAATTTAAACAATCATAAGAAAATTGGTTTCACCATAAATATTTAGATTATTACAAATTAAAACAAAAAACTAACAAACAAAAGTAATAAAAAAAGATATTATATGGATTTAGGTTTTATATGGAAGCAAAGATATTATTCCGAGAGGGTGTATAATATATATATATATATATATAGGCTATTTATATATTGCCCGGATTGGTTCCAATCCGAAACCATGGGATTCAATTTGGAACTGATTCATGGACTACTAATTTTTAGTTTTTCAATTTAGAACTGAACCACGAATTCAAAAAATCAATTCAAACTTACTGAATTGAACCAGACCGAATCAAATTACAAATTTTACAAATTGGTTACTCAACCCTAGAAAACAAGAAGAAAGAAGAAGTTTGTGGTTCAACCTTTTGTAATTTATTTTTCACCAAAAACAAAGCAGTCATGGTGAGAAATAATTTTGTTCATTAGTCTAAAATGGCGGAATGATATGTTCCAGCAGGGCGGCTCTGAATATTCAAGGGCCCAAGGTGAATACCTAACATGAGACTTTATATTTTTATCTATCGCTTAAGAATATAAAATCAATTTAAAAAAGTTATTATAAAAAAATTTAAGCATAAAATCTAGAAAAAAAAAAAAAAAAAAAAAACATTTTGGTTTGAATTTTTTGGATTAAATTTTTTAAAAATTGAGTTTTTTAGTTTTCGTTTTTTTTTACCTAGAAAACAAGAAGAAAGAAGAAGTTTGTGGTTCAACCTTTTGTAATTTATTTTTCACCAAAAACAAAGCAGTCATGGTGAGAAATAATTTTGTTCATTAGTCTAAAATGGCGGAATGATATGTTCCAGCAGGGCGGCTCTGAATATTCAAGGGCCCAAGGTGAATACCTAACATGAGACTTTATATTTTTATCTATCGCTTAAGAATATAAAATCAATTTAAAAAAGTTATTATAAAAAAATTTAAGCATAAAATCTAGTATTATTATTTTATATCTAACCATTTACACTGGAAAAAAAAATACTAGAAAAAAATCTTGAAGTATAATCTCAAAAAAAAAAAAAAAAAAAAAAAAAAATCTTGAAGTATAATCTCAAAAAAAAAAAAAAACATTACGATTCTTGCATTTTTAATCGAAAAATTGAACTAAGACCTCTTAATTATGATTTAATTAATTCTTTTATACTTTTTTAGAAGTATGAGTAAATAAACAATATATTCTGTTATTTAACATGCAACAATCAATTCAATTTTAGAGATTTCAGTTTTTTAAGTAAAATTAACCAACAATTGAAGTAAAACTTGAAATGATACAAAATCTAAAAGCATCTAGAGAGAATATTAAGATTTAAGATAGTTCAATCTCTTAATGGTGAATTAAGTTGGAGAGAAATTTGGTAAAATGAAATCAATTACTTTGGCCCTTCATTAATAAAATTGGCGTCTTTAATTTAAGGTTCTTTATATTAGGATTTTATAAAATAGATGAC